GGAGTGGGAGAGGGAGAAGCAGGCTTCCCGCCGAGCAGGGAGCCCGATGCGAGGCTCGATCCCAGGACCCTGGGATCATGACCTGAGCCGAAGGCAGACGCTTAACCGACTGAGCCACCCAGGCGCCCCCACATGTGTGCTTTTAAAATTAGTGATTCAGTGACCATCTTTGTCCTCAGAGGATGATTTCTTTCAGCAAGGATGTTTCTCCAGTCCTCAGGCCTCTTTTAACCACCACCCCCTGCACTCCCATTGGGTGGCTTGGGCCTTCTCTCCTGCCACCTGGGTCTGCCCCATATGGGCTGCTTGGGGACCCGGTCTCTGGAGCGGAGTGGGGCTCTCCTCCTCTTCCCTGCCCATCCGGTGCCTGGCCCAGCATATGCACAAAGCGGTGCTGGGAGGCCCCTAGTCGATTTGAATTCAGAGCCCTCCCCTCTCCCTTAGCTTCTCCCAGCCCCTATCAGGGAAGTCTCTGCTCAGAAGCAGCAGAAAGCACTGGTCTGGGAGTCAGGGGACCTGGATCTGCTTCCCCTCTCCGGCCAGGACACACCCACAGCAGGGGCTGGGTCCCTCATTTCCCCGCCTGCCCCAGCTCCAATCCCTCCCTGAGGGAGGCTCCGAGGAGGGTGGATTCTTTAGAGGAAGGGCCCCTAGTTGAACCACTCAAGCTGCCACTGGTCTGGGCACTGGGGAAGGTGGCAGCTCTGGGGCGTGGGAGCTACCACCCTGGTCAGAAGATAAATTCCCGCAGAGCTGCCAGGGTTGGGGAGGGGCTGGGCAGAGACCACCACCGACTTGCAGGGTCCTGCACGGTCTCCATCCCTGACTGCTCTGGAGCTTAGCAGAGGGCCTGTGCACAGTCTGCCCCTTACAGAGGAGGAGCCTTGGGGACCCGGTCTCAGGCTGCTGTGACCACCTCTGCCAACCTCTGGAACTTCTCGAGAACGCTGGCTTCTCTGAGCTGTAGGATGGCTGTAACCTGGTGTCCCCCTCTCGGGCTGCTGGTGGGCACAGGCAGCTGGGCAGGCCTTGATGGAGCTCCTGCAGTCTGACAAAGGTCCCTCCAGACCAGTCTGCAGGCTTCCAAGGGCCCAAGAACCTGGCTGAGCTGCATTCCAGACCTGCTGGCACAAGGACAAAGGTCTCAGAGGGGGGCTGTGGCGCTGAATTTGACTTTCTAGCCCCAGTCATCTCAAGAGGGAAGGTAAGGGGGTGGGAGGAGATGCCAAGACCCAGGCCGTACTGTCTCATCTGGTCCTTATCCTCCCTGGTGGCCTTCTGCATCCCAGTGTTAGGAGAAAACGGAGCCTCGGGGAGTCACTGGCCAGGGTCACCTCTGGGGCACCTCCTGGCCCTGGCTCCTGCTATGTCTGGAGGGCCCCCGAGGGGAGAGGGATGGGAGGGACCGACGGAGAGGGGACTGCTGCCCTCGTCTCCTCCTTCCCACAGATGGGCCGGCCAGAGCCCCCACGGGAGAAGGTTTCTGACACCCAGCTGTCTGGCGCCCCTGCTGCCCTCCACCTTGCCCTTGGCCATGCCATCCCTGGCCCCGAGGACTCGGACCTGGTGCCCTCTGTGACCTTGGCTGCAGCCCTGGTCCTGCTGTTCCTCCTGCTCTTGGCCTGGCTGGTGTGGGACAGGCCCCTCCGAGGCTCCTGCTAACGTGGCTTCCCAGGCAGAGGATGGGGTATCCCTTGGCTGGGCCTGGCATGAATCAGGAGTGGCCTAATGGGAGCAGAGCCAGGGACAGGGGTGGGGGTAGGGGGTTGGAGGGTTCGAGGGTAAGAGTGTGGGGAGGCGGCTGGGCCTCCCAGCCACACCCTGGGCCAAACCCTGTGACCTTTGTCTATGGCAGCCCAGGAAGTCCCCAAGCCCCCCCCCCGCCCCGCTGGAGGCAGGAACCCAGACGAGCCCTGGCCTCTGCTGTCCAGTGCCGCAGCTGGGGCATCATGCCTCCAGGTGGCTGTGGAGGGTGGGCTGAGAGCCTGGGGCAGCCGAAAGTGCCCAGGCAGGCGGGGCTCAAGTCCACCTCATGCCGGTTTCCTGCAGGGTGGGGCTCCCCATCTTTGCATGACCATCCTGGGTGCTGCAAAGAAAGCCAGGTGACCCCTGGGCATCTGTGGGATGAAGCAAAGGGAGTCAGGAAATGAGAGTTCCAGCCCGGGCTCTGTCCATGACGGGCGGGGACAGTGGATGATGTCCTTCTCCATTCTGGGCCTCAGCTTCCTCAGGCATCAAGTGAGGATGGCCGTACCTATTTCTGTGCATTGTTCTGAGGCTGACCAGTGGGTAGGCACTCTGTGGTCACCTCTGCAGCCGACACTGTCCCTTTTGCCAGGGACCCTCGGAGGAAGCCCCATTCCCCGGAGGCAGAGGCCGCAGGAGCAGGGATGCACTGGTCTTGGCCGCCACCTGGTGGCTAAAGTAAGAATGGCATCATCTGTCGTTGGATCCCCTTGGGCTCCTCCTGGCAGAGGAGGGGAAGGGGTTTTATTTTTTTAAGTGGAAACATTTGAGATTGTGGATAAGCACAAGTCTTGTTACTTAGAACTTCCTTTACCATGTGCTGTTTATCTTTGTTCCCTTCATTTCTGCATCTATAATTTTACCAAAAAAAAAAAATATCAGGAAGGGGGTGGAGGGGGCAGGTGGGGTGGAGGGGGTGGTGACGGTCAAGCCCAGGGTCGCGGGTGTCCT